ACAAAGCTACTGTGATAAAAACAGCATGATACTGGCAAAGAAACAGACCTGAGGATCAGTGGAATAAATTAGAAGATGCAGAAACAACTCCAGACATACTCAGCCACCTCATCTTTGACAAAGGAGCCAACCAACCTCACTGGGGGGAAAGATAGCCTATTTAATAAATGGTGTTGGAAAAACTGGATTTCAGCCTGCCAAAGATTAAACTAAACCCATACCTATCACCATGCACTAAACTAAGATCGAAGTGGGTTAAAGATCTAAATATTAAGACAGAAACACTAAAGTTGCTGAAAGATAAATTAAGTAGAACTCTTGAAGACATTGGCATAGGAAAAGACTTTATGAACAAAAGCTCAGTAGCACGGGAACTAGCACAAAGAATCAACAACTGGGATCTCATCCTATTAAAAAGCTTCTTCACTGCAAGAGAAACTACCAACAGAACTAAGAAACGACCTATAATGTGGGAAAAAAAATTTGGGTGCTGTACCTTAGACAAAGGACTGCTATCTAGAATATATAAAGAACTAAAAAAATCAGACCCCCCCAAATTCAAAGACCCAATTCAAAAATGGGCATCTGAAATGAGCAGACATTTCTCAGACAAAGAAGTAAAAGCAGCAAATAAACATCAAAAAATGTTCAGGCCGGGGATTTAGCTCAGTGCTTACAGTGCCTGCCTTGCAAGCACAGGGTCCCAAGTTCGATCCCCAGTGCCCCTCCCCCAAAAAGTTCAACATCACTGGTCATTGGAGAGATGCAGATGAAAACAACGCTGAGATTCCACCTCACCCCAGAAAGAATGGCTGCTATCAAGAAATCAACCAATAGCAAATGCTGGGGGGGATGTGGGGAGAAAGGAACCCTTCTTCATTGTTGGTGGGAGTGCAGACTGGTGCAACCACTGTGCAAATCAGTATGGAGATACCTCAAAGAACTAGAGCTAGAGGTCCCATTTGACTGAGCTATTCCCCTGCTGAGTATCTTCCCAAAAGAATTAAAAGAATCATGCCACAGAGATATATGTGCACAGATGTTTGTAGTGGCACAGTTTGTAATAGCTAAAGCTTGGAAACAGCCCAAGTGCCCATCTACTGGAAACTGGTTAAAGAAGATGTGGTTTTTTGTTAAAATGGAGTACTACTCAGACAAACTAGAGACATTTATAGCTAAATGGATGCATATTGAGCCATACTCTTAAGTGAAATAAATAGGGCACACATGTGTAAATACTGAATAGTTTCTCTAGTGTTAGAAACTGAAAGTGTAAATAAGGATTAAAATGAGTAAAACAAATAATTGATAGTTTGAAATATTAAAAGGTCCAAAGGGGTAGGGTTGGTAGGAGGGGAAGGGGAAAGGAAAGAAGGGAAAGAAAAAATGAGAAAAGCAAAAAAAATGGAAACAAAGTCTATGAAAATAGGGAAGGGTGGATGGGGTGAAGGGCACATAGGTAATGGGGAAAAAAATAAGAACCAAGATTCGTCATGTACAGGTAGAAGCACCCGATGATAAATGTAAAGTTATTGTATACCTAAAAAGTACCAATAAAAGAATTTAAGGAAAAAAAAAAAAAGAAAAGACAGAAACAGATAACCTTAGACCAGTTTTTAGTTCTGAAAAGCTTGAGACCTAGTGTGCCAGAAACAGGTTATGGTGGACTACAAACTCTCCCAAGGAGAGAAAAGACACCAGAGAGCCAGATTCCTAATGTTCATATGGAGGGGGACTCTCCTTCTAAACAATAACCACCTTCCATTTCATCTTCCCTTCCTGAAAGCCAAAGATGTCAACTTGAATGGTAAGTACAGTATAAAATTGTTGTTTCTGGTAAACTAGGCACATTTTATAACTTTTTGGCGAATACACTAAGAAAATTATTAGTGCTTCTGGTAAATTTTGCACAGTATACCAACTTTTTATTATGTAAAGTTTAGTTAAGGGATGCTTTGGGAGTTTTGGAATGCATTATAGGTATTTCCATGAGTTCTTATGGGAAAAATAGTCTTAACTTACAATCAATTTGAGTTACAACCAGCCCTTGTGAACTGAGTTTATAAGTCAAGGGTTCACTGTATGGCCTTTACTATATTGAAGTAAATTCCTTCCAAACCTATTTTGTTGATAGTTTTTAATCATAAAAACATATTGAATTTTGTCAAAAGTGTTTCTGCATCTATTGAGAGAGTTGTGTGGATTTTATTCCTCATTCTGTTAATAAGGTGCATCACATTAATTAATTTGCGTACATTGATCATCCTTGAAGCCTAGGGATAAGTCCTAGTTGGTGATGATTTCTGATCTTTTACGTGCAAAAGAAGGAAATTAGACCTTTATCTTATACCACACACAAAAATTACGGCACAATGAATTAAAGACTTGAAGGTAAGACCTAAAATCATACAGTTCCTGAAAGAAAATGTAAGAGAGAAACTTAATGACATTGATCCTTGGGAATGATTTCTTGGATATGATCCCCCCCAAAAAACACGAGCAACAAAAGCAAAAATAGACAATTGGAACTACACCAAATTCAAAAACTTCTGCACAACAAAGATAGCAGCCAACAAGGGTGAAAAAGCAACATAGAGAATGGGGGAAAATATTTTCAAACCATATATCTGATAAGAGATTAATATCTAAAATACATAAGGGGCCGGGGATTTAGCTCAGTGGTTCCACTGCCTGCCTTGAAAGCACAAGGTCCCGAGTTTGGTCCCCGGTACCAAAAAAATAAAAAAATAAAATATATGAGGAACTCCTACAACCCAATAATAAAACAAATGTAATAAACAAAAGCTAAATAACTTCAGTAAAAACAGGAAACAGACAGGAATAGACTTTTCTCAAAAGAAGACACACAAATGGCAAACAGGTATGTAAAAAGATACTCAACATCACTAATAATCAGGAAAATGCAAATTAAAATGAAAACGAGGCATCATCTCACACCTGTTAAGATGACTATTACCAAAAAGGCAGGAGAGAACCAGTGTTGGCAAGGATGTGGAGACACTGATATGTTTGTATACTGTTGGTAAGGTTGCAAAAATAGTACAGCTGCTATGAAAAACAAGATAGAGGTTTTTCTAAAAGTTGACAATAGAACTGACACATCACTGAGCAATCTATCTTCTGGATATTTATCCAAAAGAAAATCAGGATCTTTGAGAGATATCTACACCCCGTGTTCATTACAGCATTATCTGCAATAGCCAAGGTAGGGACACAACATAAATGTCCATCAATAGATAGATGTATAAATAAAGTGTGAGATAGAATTTCCTCTTGTTACCTTTGCTGCCTTGTGTGAGCCACGTTGTTTCTGCTCTGCAATGCCTGTTTGTCATCCCTGCCTTGGACTTGGATGATTATGGACTGAAACCTCTAGAACTGTAAGCCAAATAAACCCCTTTCCCTTTAACTTTTGGTGTCTGGTATTTTGTCTCAGCAATGAGAGAAAAGTAACTAACATAGATATTTGGTACCAGAGAAGTGGGGTGGTTGCTGTGACATTACCTGGCCATGTGGCTCGAAAGCCTTTGGAACTAGCTTGTAGGAAGGGGAAGAGTTAGGAAAGGTCCAGAGACATTGGCTACAGAGGCAGCACTGAAACACCTTAGGCTGTTTTGTATGGAAGATTCTGGTCAGAGATCAGAAGACCAGAAAGCCAGTAGAGTCCAGGCTCAGGAGGTTTCTGCTGGGAAGGACTGCATTGGCTGCTGGACTCCAGAAGATGTTTGTTATGACTTGACAGAAGGTGTGTCAGAATTTTGCTCATGTTCAGAGACTTTGCTGGAAGATTCAGAGCTACTAGCTGAAAAAGTAGGGCTGGAACACTTTAGGCTGTTCTGTATGGGAGATTCTGGTCAGAGATCAGAAAACTAGAAAGCTTATAATAAAGACCAGGCTGGGAAGGTTTCTGCTAGGAAGAAAGACTGCATTGGCTGTTGGACTCTAGATGATGTGTGTTGTGGCTTGGCAGAAAGTTTGTCTACATTTCATTCATGTCCAGAGACTTTGTGTGAAACTAAGGGTGGTGGACTAATTAATCTTGCAGAAGAAATTTCAAGGCAGTTAAATATTGAGGCAGTGGCAGGGCTCACTATTGAGGGTTTCTAGCCAGATCTATGTTGAGAATCAGGAGCAAAAAGGCCAGCAGAATGTTTTAAAATGTTTTGCATTTTGCCAGAAAGGAAGCTCCAGTAAAGATGGACTGCAAAGATAGAACAGAGCAGATCTTGATTACTGAGAAGGAACAGGAAAATAGAAAAGATGGCTTCAGAGCATCACAGGAAGCAGCAGGACTCCACACTTTGCAGCCTCAGAGTTATAAAGGTGAAGGATTTTGCTTTGAGAAGGAAGCCCCAAAGCACAATGTTCCAGAGTGGTACAGCCAAACCATGTTCCAGAATGGTGGTGGCCTAGGGAAGTTGTTCCAAAATGGCAGTCTAGGGAAGCTGTTCCAAAATGGCAGCAGCCTAGAGAATTTGTTTCTTGGGATTGGGTTCAGAGTGCACAGCAATCCAGGCACTCAACCCCTACAGCCAAGAGAGAGGGAAGACTGGCTACCACTGGTCCAGCTGGCAGCAGACCTTGGCATCATACACATGGCACTGGTTTTAGGCACATGCAGAATGCAAGAGTTGTGGGGTCAGGAAGGCTTCCACCCAGATTTCACAAGAAGGCCTGGGAGGCCAGTCAGTGTGCCCCTGAGAGGGCAATATGTGAAGCTGTAAGTGTGAAGCTGGAGGTGCATTGGCGATCTCAGAAGTTTGGAGAAGCCAGGATCATGGATTGACTGAGGAAAGCTGCAAGGAGGGAGCAGAGCTGACCCAAGAGAGAAGCCATGGGAGCTACAAACACCAAAAGTGCTGCAGGGGTGGGGCCACCAAAACCCTCTGGAGTTCATAACTTGCTACATTGCTGTCACATTGCTGGGGATGCTGGAAATGGAATTGTGGGATTTAATGTTTCCCCTACTGGATTTTGGACTTATTTTGGTCCCTTTCCTTTGTATCTTCCTGTTTGTGCCTTTTGGAATGGTAATGTCTATCTTATGCCATTAAATGTTGGAAGTGTTTAACTTTATTTTCATTTATACAGGGGCTTGTAGCTAAGAGTTTGCCTTAAATCTCAGAGACTTTGGACTTGCACTTTTCAGTAATGCTGAAACTGTTAGGACTTGGGTGAAATTGGCAACTCTTAGAGATGGAATAAATGCCTTTTGCATTAAGGGATGTGCATGAGTCTTTGTGGGGGCCAGGAGCAAAATGTTATGGTTTGGGTCTAGATGTCCCCCCCAAAGCCTCATGTGGTTGATAGAATTGATCTAGAGTATGTGAAGCTGGGATTGATTCATGATGCAATGCTAGACTCAAGGGCACTTGGATTAAGTGTGTGAGTGCTACCCACACTAAGTAGTTTGAATTACACCAGTAATTCCCTCTTGTTATCTTTGCTGCCTTGAGTGTACCATGTTGTTTCTGCTCTGCCATGCCTGTTTGTCGTCCCTGCCTCAGAGTTGGCTGTTTATGGACTGAGACCTCTAGAACCGCAAGCCAAATAAACCCCTTTCCCTTAAAAAAAAAAAAAGAGAATGTGAGAT